GCTGTGGGAGGGCAGGAGAGAAGCAGCACTCAGGGACTTTGACTTCCTTCCACTTTCAGCTGAGGGTTTGGCTCTAAGTGCCTATTTCCAGGACGGAGGTGGCCTGGGTGCGAGGGTGTCAGATTTGCCTGGCACTTCTTCTGGAACATTCAGCAGCAGGCAGGGCTGGAAGAGGAGGGTTCCGGTGAAGCGCTTCCCTCCCGAGGTCAGTTGGTGCCCAACTGGTGTTTACAAAGAGGGTGGGGCCCCAGGCGCAGGGCTCTGAGGCCTTTGCTCTCAGGGGAGCTGGCTCATGGCAGGCCACAAGCAAAGAGTGGCAAAACCACTGTCTCCTGCAAAGCTCAGAAGCCGGGCCGCAGCTGGGAGGATGCTGGGAAATGAGGGGCCTGAAGCTAGGTGGTAAAGTGGTCAGTGGAGGTTAAGGAGATCCAGAAGGAAGCAGGGAAAAAGGGACGGGGCAGGAGCATTCACACTGACTGCACCTATTACCATGGGTAGTTATTATCTTCGTTTTCCAGGAGAGCTCTGAAAGAGGCTCAGAAGGATTGGGTCACACCAGCCCCAGGCCTCATGGCTCCTGGACTGAGGTCCAGGCGGAAATTCAGGTGAGCCCAAGGTTCATGCTCCTCACACCACACCGGGCTGTGTCCCATGGGGCAATTATGAGAGAGCCATTCTGTGTCGCTCAGAGTCTGGGGCAAGGCGTGGGGGGATGTGGAGGTTGATTTTCAGGAGGCAGTGGGATCTGGGGATGAAGTGCTCTGAGACAGCCTGTCCTCACTTGGCGTGAGTCGCCCCCTCTGGCTTGGGGGGCTCAGAGAGGCCGATAAGGTCTGAACTGATTTTGGAGAAGAGTTTGCCAGTGTCCTTTCTTCTTGACTTTGTGGAGACCTGAGGCCTCCAGGCCCATGGCCAGCTTTCCAGGAAAATATTAGAGTCTCCCCCTGGGAACTGAGGTGGGGAAGAAAGCGGAGCCACCCAGCCGTTCACCCCTCACTTACTGAATGCACAGTCCTCCCTGATTCTCTCCTGGGCCAAGGTGGAGGTTAGACTGGTGTGTCCACGTGCATGTACACACACACACACACACGTGTGCACGAGTCCATACAAACATCAGCAGAGGCAGCCTCCTAGTGGACCATCCTTTTCAGCCTTGCCCTTGTCTCTAACATCTGGCACACCGCCCGAAGGCGGAACAGGCCCGGAGGCCCACGCCGGGTCATGGGCGGGCTCGGCAAGCAATCCGTTTCCCTACTTCCTTGACTCAAATGCCAGGGCCAATGCCCTCTGGATGTCAGAGCCATGGGCAGTGAGACACATTAAGTCATCCTGGGGAGGCTGGAGGCTTCTATCAGATGAAGTTGGTTGAAATTCTGGCTCTGCCACATTCGGCTATCCGACCCTGGGCGGCTTTCTTAACCTATCCGAGAGGTTCAGTGCCTTTATCAAATGGGGATGTGTTGGTTGGTGGTGATAAGAGATACCACCTCCTCTTCCAGTGGCTGGAGGGGGAGTGAGGAGTAAGCCCGAGAGCACACAGGTGGTGTTGCGGTGCTGTGCGTAGAGCCTGGCATACGGCAAACACCCAGTGGCAGCGCCTAATGCTTGTGTGGCCCTTGGCCTCTCCCACCCCCAGCCCCATTTAGTGATCCAGTCTTCAGTCTGGAGTGGCAGGGGAGGTCCCAAACCTCTTCCATCCCCTTCTTAGGCATGGAGTATTCCTTTGTTCAGGACCGTGTTGCCTACCACACCTGAGGACCAGCAGGAGGGAGAACTGTGGTTGAGTCTGAGGTACCAGAGCGATGGGTGCCAGTCCTTCGGGCAGGGAGACCAGCAGGTGGCCCCGTGATGCATCACCCCCAGTCCTGCTGCTTCCCCGTTTGACAGCCTCACACTGGCTGTGACCGTATCTCTTCTGTCCCTGCTCTCCAAAGATCCTCACAGGTTGTGGATTCTTTCTTCTAGTCCTGCCCAGGCTGTTCTTCACAACAATGATGAATGCAGCTCCCAGTTACTTACCTCAGTGTCCCCACAACGCAGACGAGGACACTGAAACCCAAAGGGGTCAAGCGACTCGGTCATCACGGAGAAAGTGACCCACCTGAGACTGTATCGAGTCTGGGAAGACGTGAGTGGCAGAATGGACCCTGCTGGGTAGGAAGACATTCTGCGCACTCAGACCCCATCGGTTGCTCCTGGTTTGGGATCCATGGGGTCCTGCTGGGGGCTGCTCAGTTCTGCTCATAGTCAGCTAACCTGGTGCTCAAGGGGATAGGATAGGATAGGCTTCGACTCTCCCTCATGCCCAGGAGTTGCCTGCTTGCTATGGTCTGAATGTTTGTGTCCCCCCTCAAATTCATATGTTGAAATTCTAATGCCCAATGTGATGAGGTTAGAAGTTGGGCCTTTGGGAGATGCTCAGGTCAAGAGGGTGGAACCCTTTGAATGGGATTAGTGCCCCTATACAAGAGACCCCGTGGAGCTGCTTTGCCCTTCTACCACGTGTGGACATAACAAGAAGTTGGCAAGGTGTGACTCGAAAGAGGGCTTTCACCAGAACCCAACCCATATAGGCACCCTGATTTTGGGAGTCGAGCCTCTGGAACGGTGAGAAATAAATTTGCTTATGAGCCACCCAGTCTGTGGTCTTGTGTCATAGTGGCCCCAGCAGACCAAGGCACTGCTGCTCAGCCCGGCTGGGGTAGGAGGTGAGGACCCGGTCTGGGTGAGGTCCACTCAGGAGCGGGAATGGCTGGCAGTGCGGAAAGAGGGTGTGGGAGTGGGGAGGCAAGTGAGTTAGCAGCTATGGAGAACTGCCACAACCTCTGAGGCTGGAAACTCACAGGGAGGAGGGGTTGGTAGAGAGCTCAGGGCTGGGGCTGCCCACTGCGAGCTGGGGCCAAGGAGGAGGCCGTGGCCAGAGTTGCTGCCTGAAGCTGGGGGTCCGGAGAAACACCCCGACTTCTCTCCTCTTCCTGCCGCCCCCCTTCCTCCGGCACCTTTCGCTGGGTGAACCTAGTCAGAAGCCAGTTAGCAGGGGAGTCTGTCATATGACATTTGCCCTCTGAGATGTTGAACAGAACAGAGAAAGTAAGGAACAGATGTGATAGCAAATGATAAGCAAGCAAGCAGGACACAGACCTTTCCAAGGTGATGTCCTGCTCCCGCGGCCAACCCCAAGCTGCTCCAGGGCTCCTGCTGGGTAGCGGGTGGGCAGGCTCCTGATGCTGATGACCATACTCCCCCTTACGAAGAGGACTTCTGCTCGCTACTGGTTGGGTCCAGTGGAGCTGGCCACCCTCCTTATATCTGACTGGGACTGCCTAGTGGTCTTCGTTTGCCTTGTCCTTCACTTCAGTGACTGCCTTTCTCTCTGGTCCTAACTTCTTCCCCATCAGCATTGCCCTCACAGGGCTGGGGTCTTACCGTGCCCTTCCCCCTTGCCAGCCCAACTTAGAAGACCAGAGAAGATGCTGCCAAGAGTCTCCCACCAAACACTCTGGTTAAGAACCTGAGGTCAGATCCAGCTCTGTGGCTTTCTGACTCCAAGCACGCAATTTCGCCCTCTCAGCCTCAGTCTGCTTATCTGCGAAATGGGACTAGCAACAATACCTCCCTGCAGAACTGCTGTGAAGATAAAATAAGCTAATGCAAGTAGAGTGCTGAGCACAGGGCTCAGCTCTTAATGAGTGTCCTATAAATGGCAACTTCAAAAAGCATGGGAAGGAACAGTTGGGAGTCACCATAGACTCGGGAGGAAGCACCTCTGGACCCTCAAGGTCCTGGCTGCCAGGGTCCATTACTAGTCATTTTCCTTGAGATCTAAGTCTCCCACATTCCAGGGGGCTGAGTAACGGGACAGCTCTTTCCCCGGTCTCATGAAGTTCTCAAGGCTAGAAGGAGGCCTGCATGTTTTGCCTGGAACTGGCTTGCACTCCCATTCTGAGCAGCACTAATGGCAGTGGGAGGGTTGGGCAATGGGCACAGGAAGCTGAGTGTCCTTGCCACAGGACCTACTGAATGTCTGAGCATTGCAAGGCCCCCTCCCCGCTGCCTGCCAGTGTTTCTGGTCTCATCTGGAAGGACAACGCTGTGACGGTCCAGGCCCTCCCTAGGCCTTTATCTTTTGTGCTTGGGGCTGGAGGTCTAGTAGCCAATCAAAAATCTCTTAGGTTGGGGCGCCTGGGTGGCTCAGTTGGTTAAGCGACTGCCTTCGGCTCAGGTCATGATCCTGGAGTCCCGGGATCGAGTCCCGCATCGGGCTCCCTGCTCGGCAGGGAGTCTGCTTCTCCCTCTGACCCTCCTCCCTCTCATGCTCTCTGTCTCTCATTCTCTCTCTCTCAAATAAATAAATAAAATCTTTAAAAAAAAAAATCTCTTAGGCTTAGTATAGTATTAGAGTATCATGGGCCTTCAGAGCTTGAAAAGACGTCGAACAGAATCCTAGGCTTGTTAGTGCTGGAAGGGGCCTCCTGTGGGACCACAGGGAATTGGGGCAGGAGCCCAGGGGGACCTTCAGTAGACTGTACATGGCTAGTGCTAGATGGGTCTTCAGTCCGAGCACAGAATGACTCCTTCAGAATGAGCCTCAGGCAGAGCCATAGGACATGAGTACGAGACAATGTGCTAGATGTAGCTGATTCAACTCTCTCATTTTATAGCGGAATCCTCAGCTCCCTGTATAAGTAGCTAGTTGGGGGGGGAGGTTCCGAGAAGAATTTGCTAGACATGAGGTCCACGCGAGTACTTTAGGGGTTTAGGCTGGCGCAGAGAGAAAGAAGATTGCTTACAGCTTCTATGGGGGTAGTCATTACAGGTAAGAGAAGAAAAATAACAATGGAGCATTTATTCCACAAGTGTTTATTGACTCCTGTGTGAGGCCCAGCAGGGATGGGAAGAGGAGTGAGACCCCGTAAGGTAAGATGTGACAGAAAACCAACCCAAGCTGGCTTAGAAAAACGGACATTTGTCGGCTCGCCTAACCGGAGGCGCAGAGGCAGGGCTTCAAATACAGAAGAGTAAGCAAAATAGAAATTTATGTCACTTTCTATCCTATAAGAGTTCAGAGAAAAGTCATCCAAGACCGAGAGAAGGGCTCCGCCATCCTCCACATGTGGCGTCCCTCCCTGGGTCCAGGGAGACTGCTTTCATTTCTCTCATCTTCTAGGCAGGGGGAAGCACATGCACAATCCTTCTGACAGTACAGCTTAGAAGCGGTACAATCATTCTGCCCACAGTCTGTGGTGAGACCTTAAACTCAAGGCCACAGCAAGCTACAAGGGAGGCTGGGAAATGTAGCTTTTACGAGGCAGCCATCTGCTTGGCCAAAAATCAGGAGTTCTATTATTAAAGAAGGTGACTGTTGATATTGGGAAACCAGAAAAGCCTCTACTGCACACTGATTAGTTTAGGCCCAAGTGCTTGAACCAATTCTTGGAAAGGGCAAGTGGGCCAACCCCTGGAGCCGGGCATGGGGTCAGCTTCCACTGAGGCACATGGGCTTGCGTAAGCCTTTGGACTCTGGGTCTGTTTGTTCAGCGGCTTAGCTTGTACGCTAAATAATACACCGTGCCTTGCATTTCTTTGGCTTCTTTTAGGAAGGGAGAGAATGGGTGTTGGGTAGTCAACCAGCAGGGAACACTACATGACCTGCCTTGGAGGCCCTCTGACTCTGGGTCAGGGAAGGGACGTCTTTAAACAGATAACTATGGGTCAACGTGACAAATGGTAAACTAGCAGCTATATATAAATCCCAATGAAAACAGAGGGAAGAATTAAGAGAAGGCTGCTAAGAAGGGATAGGAGAGTATAATGAGTTCATTTTGTCTGGGTCTCAAAGGATAGGTGGGAATTCCCCAAATTATTTTGGCTGGGGAAGGACAATTCTGACAAAGAGAACAGCCAACTCGCAGAGCTGTGGGGGCACACGGGGTGTGGCTAGTGGCCTGGTGTGGCTGGAGAGTGGGAGGGAGGTATGCTGGGAACAGGGAACAAAGAGCGCCCAAAAGTCACGAAAGTCACAGGAGGAAACAGCCTGTCTGACAGGCCTCTGGAAGCCATGCAGGGTTTCTTAACCCAGCAGAGATGTGGGCTTTGTCTCTGTCTTTCTCTGAGGTAGAGACTGGAGGATGACTCGTTAGGAAGCTATTTCATAAATTCGGCTGAGTAATGAAGAGAGCCTGCATCGGGGTTGTGGTGCTGGGAAGGGAGACAAGGAGCTGGGATGACAGGGAGCCTGGGGGTAGGACTAACAGAACTTGGTAGCTGGGTGGTTGAGGGGCTTGAGCGGGAACAAGGAGGGGGTTAAGTATGGCTAAACATGATCCTAAGTTTATATGCTTGTACTAGAAATCCAGAGAAGGAGTACAGGAGAAGCAAGTTTGGGGATGAGAGGAGAGGATGACTTCCCACCGTCTGAAGCCTGGTCCATGACAGGCTTCTTTGGGATCCTTGGATACACAACATTCTCTCTTAACTCAGGGCTTCTGAACACTCTGTCCCTACTCCGCAAAACATTCCCTCACCCTCAAATCTCCAACTGGCTAATTCCTCATTCCCTCCAAGAGCCCTTCTTGACCCCCCCACCTAGGTGACAAACCCTCTTCGAAAAAGAGAAATGGTACGCCATTTCTTCTCTTTACGTGCCTCTCGCTCAGGGTTGTTTAACGTCCGTCTTCCCTGTCTCAGCCTGTCAGATCCATGAAGACAGTGGCCATGTCTGTCTGTCTGCCCCTTCCTTCTCAAGACCTTGTATGGTGTCTGGAACCCCATAGGCACTCATGCTGGGTTCCAAGTATTCAACACTTGTCATTGGAAATAGGAGTTGGCTAATAGTTTTTATCCAGGCCCACTGAGATGTGATGCAAGGCAATGAGGCCACCATGGGGACCGGTGGTGTGATCCGTTTATAGACCTGGATCACTCTAGACCAGTGGTTCTCAACCAGGGGCAATTTTTGCCTCCCAAGGACATTTGGCATGTCTAGAGACATTTTTGATAGTCATGACTCTGTGTGTGTGTGTTTTTTTTTTACTGGCATCTAGAGGCTA